TTAGACTAATAATATCAAGAAAACATAATGTTTAAAAGAAAAATATAAAAATATATCAAGTAAGAGGTAAACAATAAACTTCTATAGCTTGCTATACTATTATAACAAGTCAGCTAGAACCGGTCAAACAGACTTCTAAAATAAATGGAAAGTCGTTGCAGCTTAATGTCACCAACGCGATTTATAAAAATACGTTTAATATACGTTCATTATTATATTTAATTGTAAGTTTTAAAAGAAAAATTTTATACACGACTGTTGTTAAATACTTTTTTATTCATTGTGGAAACTGCGAAATAAAATTACATAATTTTTTTTTTACAATTGCTCTGATTTCAACTTGACAAAATTAAAAAAATATCCAACTTAGCTGCAGATATACAAGTAAATAGATCTACAGCAAAATATTTTCATATTATCGTGCTTATACTGAAAATAAATATGTGTTTATATGTATAACGCAAGTGCAAATAAAAGTTATATAAATCTGTTTAATTTATTTAACATCAATACTATGTTAGAAGATTTAATCTATTGCATCAATAACATCATGTGCATATTTCTTGCTGATAAATTAATACAAAATTTCAATAATTGTGCATAAAGATTATATGTGGAAATTTTTTGCTATTATCCTTTGTTACGTAATATTGCTTTTAGTAATCTTGTAATAGTGAATATAGCATTTTAAACTGATAGCAATATAAACATCACTTTGTCGTACATAAAATATGTATATTTCATTGTTCTTTTCTTTAATCTTGTATCGCTGTGCGTATATATTAACGTGAAATGACGGTGTCAGATACTGGATGTTACGGCCAGTACCTTGTATTCTCCTCTACCTGCATCTTCAACGCATAATACGCGATGCGACTCATCGTTTTATACTTGGAGCGGTTAGGCCCCTTCGGATGCAGCTTCCTTACCGAATTTATCGCTCGTCCGAATCGCAGACAAGTCCATATAACCCGTTCATGATCTCACTTCCCACCTAGCTCGAGCGCCCTTGCGCTCGCCACGCTGTTTTCATTCTTATATAAATCTCATTGCAGGCAATATATATTGCACGGTATTCCTTTGGTCATCTCATTCATATCGACCATTGAAATTTATTTCGCTGACCAAATGCGAATAACTAAAATGAATCGTTGTCAAGCCGCCTTTTAATTTTATTCTTTACCGTTCTTATTAAACGTGTCGTGAAATATAAGATATTTAAGTCATTCTTATTCTTTTCAATTTCAGATGCCAAACGTAACAACAATTTTGAGATAATTCTGTTTACGTAATAACAGTAAAATATTAATATTTAAATGAAATTTATGTTTATGCGTATTTTCAATTGGCTATCCAACTTTTATAAATATAACTTAATAATTTTATTCTACTGTATGTAATATTTCTAAAATTTAAAAGAGTAAAAAGTATTATTGTAAAAAGTCCTAAACTATAAATGGGCAAAAATTTATAATATAAATTGTCTTTCTATGTATGCATATATGTGTAATAAATAAATATATAAATAGTAAATAAATTATGAAAGAATAAGAGCCGTATAGAATTATATCTAATGTACATTGATGTAATTTTGCATTCCTTGTAGCTAAAATGATATGAGAGACGAAAGAGTTTCAGAAACAGCTGCAAAACAATAGGCATAACTTCTAACGTGGTTGACACGCTGGTTACCGCAAGCCAAAAGCAGCTAATACAGCAAGTTATCCACTTAGAAATCCGACGGAACATTGCGAGAGAAGAGTTTGAGGAGTCGGAGAGTGTAGGAGGCTGTTACTAACTTTGGATAAACCGGGCTAAGTTTCTTGGTTCGGTACTTACGAAACTGCCATGTGAAAACGCTTAAGTTTATTCTTCCCGTATGCACTGACAGAGAAATACCTCAGGCATCGATTTACATAACGATTATAAGTTAATTAAGCGCTTAAATGTGTTGTTTATCAGGACTGCCTTAAAGGTAACAAATCTTCAAAATCATTATCGATTTTTGTATTCTGATAGCAGAATGTTCTGACAAGAATATTTAATAAAATAAATATATC